CGAGAGGCTACTGCCCCGCGCTGCTCCGCCCGGAGACGCACGCGAAGGACACCTAGGAAAAACGCCCCGAGGTCACCGGGAGCCTTCCCGGCCAGAGCCTCCTGCCTGGATCGCCAGATGACTAGCTTGGCGAGAGCCAGGAGGAGGTTGACCAGTAGGTCCCGGGCCTTGGTGGGGCGGAGAAATCAGAACTGGCTTCGGCGGTGACACCTGGAGAGGAGATAGCACGGCAATGTGATGAGGCAGCAGAACGCGCGCGGAGTTTTTTGTGCTGCGAAAAGTCCCGCTTTTGTGAGTTCTTCTTCACCGGCGCCCTTGCCTTGAATTGACACGGCTTCTTACTTCGCAATGATCCAAAGCCTCCGGGGAACGCAGCCCGGCCTCTGATACACCCCCGTGTGCGTGGATGTACAGCGCGGAGCCTGCCCGCCCTTCCTTCCGGGGCGCGAGGCTAGTGTGAGATCCCCAGCGACAGCTTTCCTCCGCAACCCTGCCGGTGCGGGCACTGCTCCCTCCCACCCCTGGCTGTGCGCGCCCCGGAGAGAAGGGGAGGAGAGAGGAACCGGCCAACTCCAGGCCAGGTTGCCAACCTCCTGTCCCAGGGAAAGTCCTGGAAAAGGTCACGGAGGAGTCAGCACGCGGCAGGCTCGCAGATGGTCGCTTTCTCTGAACGACAGCCGGCGCGGCTTCAGCGAGGGCAGGGCTCGTCTCACCCACCTTCCACACCCGGGAGACTCGCCACCCGCATACGAAAGCAGAGGCCAATGCTGTGTACCTAGACTCGCATGAGGCCTTTGGATCTGGGATCCCATGCTGCTCTCAGGGGACAATGCAAGGACCGCAGGCTTGGCCGCTCAACAGTCAGGTGGGCAGGGAGCTGGCAGCGGGGGAGGACCCTGACGAACAGATCTGGGTTGTCTTGGTGAGAAGGGGCCGCCGGCAGCCCTCGGGGGTCCGTGCTCATCCCAGCCCTTTCCGATCTCTCGAGGAGTCAGGTGCGGGGGCGGAGAGCTCGCCGGCCCTGTTTGCGGACAACACCGAGTTCACGGGGCACGTGGTCATGCTCGAGGATTGGCTGCAGGTGCCAGCGGACCCAGACAGGCCAGCAAGCTGGGCACGCCGGAACCCGAGCAAGCTCTGCGGCACCCGTCCGACCGGTGCCACGACTGTAAGGGGCTGGTGGGCAAGCACGGCCCGTCGTACGAGCACGAGCCAGCAGCGCGACGCTGCCACCAGCGGGGCAAGCGGTGTTCTGGCACGCATCGACCGACGCCTCGTCAGCAAAAGCAAGGAAGCGATCCATCTGCTTGACTTGGCGCGGGTGACACCGCTGCCAGAGTGCCACGTCCGGTTCTGGGCGCTGCGCTTCCGCGAGCACGTGGCACAGCCGGAGAGCGTCCAGAGAAGGGCCACCCATACGCTCGGAGACTTGCACGGCAAGCCCTACGAGGAAAGGCTGGCTGTCCTGGGCCTCATCAGCCTGAAAAAGAGAGGGGACTTGGCGGCAGCTTGCCACTACATTGGGGGACCGCATCGAGGGCTCGGCGAGCAACTGTTCGCCAGGGCAGCCGTGGGGAAAACCAGGAGCGACAGCCACCAACTCTGGGGCTCCAGAGGCGGTGCAATCGCCCAACCCCGGAGATCGTCAACGGGAGGCCAGATGGTCACCTCGCTGTGCTCACCTGACCCCCAGGGGTCTGTCCTGTCTGGCGCAAGGGGGCCGGACCTGATGACCATGAAAGTCCAGGGATCGCGGAAGGCTCTGGGGGCTCCGGGAGGAACGGGGGACCCTGGAAGCAGCCAACCGCTTCCTGGACGTGGGATGAGAGGGCAGGTCTGAGCAGCGGCCCCACGGCGACTAGATCCGGAGGACATGCCTGACCCTGGCATATCGGGGGGAGGGGCCCGGGGCCCGGGCTAGCTCCGCTCGTGTGGGATTCGACACCTTTGCTAATCGCTCCTCTGCGGCGGGGGCAAAGGCCTAGCCACCGGCGCTGCGCTCGGCCACTCGAACCGGCCCTGGGAAACGCTCGTCAGCAGCTAGGGCTGGCAGCCTGTGGGCGACTCAAGGGGTCAGGGCTACGACAGTTTGCCATGTCAGCAGTGGCGGCTTCAGCCAGCAAAGACAGGTTCTGCCCGGTATCGAGCCCGGCGTGGGCAGCGACCTCGAGTGCCAGGCTGGGGCAGGGTGCAGCTGGGTGAGCTCCACTAAAGAGTTTCGCTTTCTGCCTGTCTCCTTGCTAACGCAGCCGGCAGCTGCAGTGCCATTGCCCTCTAGCAGCGCATGCCGTCACGACCCAGTTACAGTCATCCACGCTGCACTCACGAGCGCTTTGGCCAACCGCAGCCTGGACGCAACGCCTCGGCTGCCCAGAACAGCGCTCCCGTCTCGCACACGGCCATCCTCGCAAGAAGCGCCTGACAAGATCATCGCGCTTGCCCACCACGCCGGGGGAGGCTTCGAGCCAGTGGCCTGTTGTCTCGCCCCCGGATTCCTGGGAGCCCGTCTCTCCAAGGAGACAGCGTTTCCCGAGGAAAGCTCCTCCTCAGCGAGCGGTCGCAACCACATCTGCTGGCCATTCTCGGGACGGAGCGGAGCCAGGGGATTTTCCCTGGCGTTGCCACAGCAAAAGGTACATTTCCAAGGAAAAGGGAATGCTTCCCAAGAGACCTCTCGCTCGGCATTTCCCTGTCAACATTTCACACGGACTGAAACGCAGCTCCCACGGGGCCAGCTGGAAACCCGACGCCAAACGCACGAGCGCCATGCCAAGTGGCGTCGTGGAGGCGCCCGGCAGCAGGTGCCCACAGCATCCTACTGAGCGCGAGCCGCTGTAAGGATGCGGGTTAAGAGGCGGGCGTGGGAGCCGGAGGGGGGGGTGTATGTGACAGCAGAGGGAGACCCGGCTCTGTCTGGCACTCAGCCGGCTGCTACCCCTGCCTGCCCTCCTTGGCACGCAAGCGCCCCCACTGTGGCCACCGCCTGGGGAAGAGTCCACCGCTCCCCACTCCAGCCAGCCCGTCGGCCCTGAGACCTCTGCCTCGGGCGGCAGGTTGAGCAGACCGGGCAGATCCAGGGAAGACAACCCCAAATCCCCTTACGCTTCCTGCTGGGAAAACAGGCCCCGTTTTGGAGAGCATCCAACTGCTATTGTCCGCCCTTGCAAACCATGAGGCCTGCTGCCAGAAGCAGCCGCCAGCACGTGCCCACCCCCTCGTTCATCGCGGCCCGGGCCATCCCCGGGATCCGTTCCAAGGCATGGAGCGGCCTTGCATCGCTCTCCCCAGCTCCTTTTCTGTCTCCCCCAGCACCCACGCACGCCTTGCCTCCAGGCTCGCCCGCCAGCTGTTGGCAGGCGCTTCCACCGCCGACCCTGCGGTCATGCCCTCCAGGGTCAGGGCTACGTCTGCCGAGCCGCTGAGCCTGTGCAGGCTGGAGCCGGAATAGACTCGCTCCGACCAGCCGCGCAGCCTGGGCCAGCTCGACCTGCTGGCAGGACAGGACGGGGACAGCGGGCCCGGACCAGATGGAGGCTGCCTGAGGGCGTCTGCACGCAGCAAATGCAGTGCCAGGTGCCTGGACTGCCGTGCGCCCTGCTGTGCTGTCCTGTCCAGCTTTGGGAACCTGCAGGGGGACTGGGAGGCGTGGCAGGCTGAACACCAAGGGATGGAGTACCGTGCACCGCTAATGGTGCCCCTTCTAGCAACACAGCGCACCGTGAGTCGGGGCAATGAGCCATCAGACCCGGCGGCCCGTCTCCGACAGCAGCGGTGGGGGTGGACGCTCTGGCGGGGGAGCCCAGAGCTGGGTGCGGCGTGAGGGATCTGCGCCCCGTTCGCTACCCGCCATCGCGGATTGCAAGATGCCAGAGGATGCACGCACCCCCGACTGCTGTGCTCAATAGCAACCAACAGGTTGCTGACCCGGTGACTTTTGGCCTCGGCGGCCCTCTCTGCCTCTCCCGCCTCCTACGGGAAGGAGTTCCATGGGTCCAAAGTCGGCGTCCGGTGCTTGCTCGCCCAGGCTCCCTTACACTCCTGGCCAGCGCTCGCTCGACCAAGTTGCTGGGATCTGCGTCCACGCCGTGCCGCTTGACTCGCACCCTGGATGGCCCAGGCAGCTGACGCATGCAGCGCCGCCCCAAGCTCACAACACATTCACATGGCGAGGCACGGCTTTCCCTGGGACCTGCGTCTTCTCCGGCAATCCCTCGCGGTCCAGCGCCACCTCACACACCGGCCAATTCCAGGGGACGTTGCTCTTTGTGCTGCCGACGCTGGCACAAGCGCGCCACTGTACTGGCGTGTGCCATCGCACCTCTGCCTGGCTGGGCATTCAAGGAGCATCTGGGTACCTGTGCGCTCAGCTGCTTGCCCTAGCAGCGAGGCAACTGCCTCACCTCCGCGACTCACGGGCTCGCATGACACGTTCCTTGCTTCCACAATCGTTCCCTGGCCACCGCGAATCAAGCTACATTGGGGTGGCAGGTCACGCAAGGACCCCTCGCTGCAGCCAGAGGAAGGACCGTAACCACGCGCTGCGTCTGCCGCGTCACTTTACAGGCCAGCGAGGGCTGCGTAACTGGGAGCCTCGCCTGGCTGCTAATGACGGGAGAGCTGCTGACCCCAGCACTCAGCAAGCTGAAACCTGTTTTGGCCAGACACGCTCTGCGATCAGACCTGCTCGGCGAAGCAGGGAGAGATTGCTTTGCAAGAACCTCCGTTACATGGCATGCCCTGAACTTTGGCCGCTGACACGAGCACGACGCCCCTTGTCTGCAGGACAAAACCGCCCTGACAGCCAGCGCTGGGCAGGGCAGGGCCCGCCCTGCTCAATGAGTTCACAAACTAATCCTGGCAGCCCGCAGGGAACCCGGCGCATTACGTACTCTGGGAGCACGATAAGACGCCTTATCACCAGAGTCCACCTCCCTGCCAGCCGCCAGCCCAATTCCGGTAGGCGGGTGAGTAAGGACTCCAACCAGGGTCACGATTAGCACCCCGCCCCGCTTGCACAAAACCCGATGATACGAGGGTCAGAGGGACCTCTGGAGGTCACCCCTAGTCCAAGCCCCTGCTCACGGCAGGACCATCCCAACCTCGACCCCCCAGCCGAGGCTTTGTCCAGCTGGCTTCGCAAAACCTCCAAGGACGGAGAGGCAACAAGGAACCCGTGCCCATGCTTCCCCACCCTTCTCGTGAGACGGCGGTTCCCCACCTCCAACCTCAACTTCTCTCGCTGCGACGTGAGCCCACGGCTCCTCCTTCTGTCCTCTGCCCCCTCCAAGAACTGGCCATCTCCGGCCTCTTTGCAACCCCCCTGCAGGGAGCTGACGGCCGCTCTCAAATCCCCCCTCGGCCTTCTCATCTGCCGACTAACTAAGCCCAGAGCCCTCAGCCTCTCCTTGCGAGTCGTACCCCCAGCCCCCATAATAAAGCCATCAGGATCCGTGGCTCCTTGACGTGCCTTTCCCAGGCTGGGACGGTTTCCCTGATCCGATGCGCCAAGTGGTCGTCTGGCATGCGGAGGTTTGTAAGGCCCGACTCAACAAAGCCTTGGCTGGCACGATCCAGCTGGGGCCGGTCCTGCTCGGAACCAGGGCTTGGACTCGATGCGACCTCTGGACGTCCCTCCCGACCTTCCTTTGTTACGATTTCCTGGCAGCTAGGCGGGGGAGGACCGCACCGCACACCAGAATCACCTCTCGCAGACCAAACAGAAAGGACAGAGATCCCCACACACCGTTAAGAGCGCATTTCTCACGGAGCAACCACTCCCTCTCTGACCTCACCATCCTCGTGCTCAAGGGCAATCGGCCCAACACGTTTAAAAGATGGGCCTGGGAACAGACATTCAAAAGCTGGCCGGACTCTAAGACGACGATGGTGTAGATTTGCACTACCTACATCTCTCTCTCTCTAACGGAGATATAGCTATTTGAGAGAGAGAGAGGTTTGAGATATATATGGTGACATCTATGCATGTGTGTGTGTGTACTTGACCGATATATATATATATGCATCACCTTATAGACTAACCCCATATCTATATATCACCATCTATCAAGAAGCTCATGAAAGCCTGTGGCATTATACATCGATAATATAGGCCTTGACCATCAGCTTTGTTTCTTCGGCTAACTCTCCACCTGCTACCCCTGGCAATGTCTCGTGCCCTCCCCACTGCCACTGTTTTTCTACTAGGGTACACTGGCCTTGTCTGGGTCAGACCCAAAGAAGGCTTTCAAATGCTTGCCTGACTCTACCCCCACTATGCAGGTGGCCCAATAAAAGGTGCCACCCCAAGAAAGCCTGGCCTCGGGCGAAACCTCCTCGTAAGCAGGGCGGAGGGCATCGACACTGCATAGGTGCCGATCCTCCCTCCGATGTTGATGCGTCGTGTCCGTGAGGCTGCCTGTAATACTCTTGCGCCCATTGCAATACGTTCCTGGCTGCTTTCTAGGCCAAAATCAACGGGCTAGGAGACTAACATTGAAGCACAGAAAAGAAAGGGCGCTCGCTGCTTCTGGGCAGCCATATGTACAGCCGTCGCAGTGGGGTCACAAACCGCTCAGCGGCTCGACGTGCAAACCAACGTCCTTTCAATACCCACCCTTCAGCAGTCCTAGGGGACGTGACTGTGGCTAATACCTGACGGAAAGATCACCCCCGGCAGGTGACACCCTGCTGGTCTGGGCAGAAGCCTCAAAAGCAGAAATCTGAGGCATGGCCAAACACCCGTATTCGGCCTCTTCCTCTTTGGCAACACGGGAGAGTTTGGTCCAAGCGTACAGCGCCAACCACATCACTCCATCTCGACTCAGCAACGTATCCGGGTCGGAGCCTGGGCTACATGAGAAGCGCTGCTTGGCACAAAGGCCCCCTGCACACACAAGAGGCGGGTGTCTACAGGAACAAATACATTTGCATGAGAACCGGCTCGTGGCTTCCCCTTTCGCCCCACATTTGCCTTCCGGGGATATTTGCCAAGCCTCTGGTCCCGGTTCGCCACAGATCTCCGGGCATCCACCTCATCCCAGCAGCCAGCCTGAGGGAGGCAGAGCACAGAGAAACCAGCAGCCTCCCCCGACACAGGAGAATGGGCACGGAGAAAATGCTGGGAGCACGATGGCAACACTGTCTGCTAACAGGCGAAGGGGAAGGTTTCTATGTGGCTCAGGTGCCATGCTACGGTGATCTAAGGCAGGAGGAACACAAAGGAAAAGCACCGGTCACCCGGCAGCATGGAGAGATACGACTGCTCCAGCGTGAAGACGAGAGGAGGGCTGGCCTTGTCCCTTTCCCGACCCAACCTAACGGACAGGGGTTTGCGGGGAGATCGCTGAAACACTTCTGCAACCAATCACAGCCGGTACCCTGACGCACGCTTTCACCGCACTGCTCTTTCTATCGGGTTTTTTGCAATGACACTCATCATCATCCGGTCAACCTGTTACAAGCTGCCCATCAAAAGACCCCGCACAAGTCATCTACGCACACTGCCAACGATCGGCAGGAGGCCCGAGCCCGTTTCACCTTCCTTTCCAGGTCTGTTTTGTAACACCTGCTGCCCGTGTACTGCGAGTACCCGCGTGTGCTTTGGGACACGTGCTCCAGCGCACAAACACCAAGTCTCTTTGGGCTGCTCGATCTACACTGCTGTCCCTCCGGCATGCAGCAGGCTTAAAGTTCATGTGCCGGCTCCTTCCCAGAGCCCCTGCCCCAAGCCTGCCGAATCAGCTATCCGTCTGACAAGCAGCTCACCTCTGCCGGACACCTCCCAGGAGCCCCACGGCAGGATCCAGGCATGACTGGTGCCTCCTGAGCCTGGGGGGGCACAATTGGTGGGGCAGGCCAAAAGCCTCATAGCCACTCCTATACTTCTTGCCACAGCTTAGTGCCTCCCTATGCCCACCCCAGCATGCTGCTGGCCCACGCAGCAAAAAAACCGCCCTGTCCCGAGCGGTGCCGAGTCAGGGGCCAATCTCAGGGGGGCACAGGCCCCCCCTACCAGTCACCTGCGGCTGAATCGCTCTGTGCCCTGCCGAGTACCACATTCACAAAAGGTATCACTCAAAGCTCCCGACATTTGCCGTACAACAAAAAGGTCCGGTCCAGTCTTGATGGGCTGGGTGCAGTGGCTTCAAGCCTGCAAATGAGAAAGGGGGCGCCAGTCCCTCCATCTCCACGATTCGGACGAGGAAACCTCGGTGAAGAGGCCTTTGTTGCACATCTCAGCACGAGCACGTGCAGACGGCTGCCTCAAAAGCTATTCAAGCTCAGCCATTTTCATTTGGAAGGCGCACTGCATCTAAGCAGCCCCGAGTCCCGACGCTTTGCTTACCGGTATGGCGCCGAATTCTCTCATAGGGCTGTTGCTCACGTAGCCGTTGCAGCTGCAAAGCGTAGGGGTCTCCAGCAGGACAGATGCTGCCCCCTGACCTGTCGAGATGAGGGGAAAAATGTTAAACTACTGCCTGTAAAAGGCCAATGAATGCTGTCATTTCTTGCGCAACTTTTTGCTGCGAAATTCCCCCTCCTAAACACCAAAGGAGGTTGCAACCAAATCAAGCATTTGGCGGAGAGGAGAGGAAATGCCTGGCTCTCTGCCCTCTCTGTTTCTTGCCGACAGGAGGAAGCTGCAGGGTCATGCCGCATTTAGCGGGCAGGGCCACAGCCCCGACACCTTTGTAGCGCCTGCCCCTCTGGCCCTCAAACCGGGCTTCCTGCAGGCAGCAAACTGCCTTCCGAGCACAGAAAACTACTCAGCAAGGAGGACCCGGGGCAGGACCGCCCCCGCTCAAACATCCCCCCCCGGGGTCTAGGTTTTCTCTGGAGCCGGCATGAATTCAGGAGATGACTCTCCTGATGCTCCTCTTCAGTAAGAAACAAATCCTTCCCAGACCTATCCGCCCCCTCCCACCCAGCATCCCCTTGTACTTGCTGCAGTGCAGCGACTCACTGAGTGGGGGGAGACGAGCCCTTCATTTGGGCTGCGCGCATCATCAGCACAGCTCGGGAAACGGGACCGTGGGCAGAAGGGGAGAGCTTCCAGTCAGGGTCTGTCACCGGAGGCCCCCCGAGCGGTTAGCAATGCACCGCCCAGCCCCACTGCCCCGGGGGGCCAGGCAAGGCATGCTCACGGCATCATTTTGCGGCAGGCGGCTCTTGTTTGACTTTGCCTTTGGCACAGGAACATCTCCCCGTGCCGTGGCCAGAACCGATATCAGGCCGCAGCTGCTGATCACCGCCTGCGCTACACGCAGAGGAAACTCTTTGAAAGACGAGGTGTCCGCTTGTCCGCAAAGGCACACTTTGTGTTTCTAGGGCAGGGCTTGCTCTACCCCGCCGCTACTTGCCTAAGGCAGAAGCCTCTTTGCTTTCTTTTCTTTCGCTCTGCCCGGGCTGCCTACACCTAACCCCAGCAGCACCTTGAGCCTTCTCCCGTGGGTGCGCCCCAGCTCCCCCGGTGCCCCTCGGATGAATGCCCCTGCCAGTATGGGGCGCTTTCCTGCGGCAAGCGTCCGACGGCAACGTTCAAGCAGACTTAGAAGCGTCTGAAATAACCAGGCAGGAGGCCAGAACGCCGCTTCTCCAGCGTGCAGGGTCATTAAGGCCTTTTGCCGTTGCTGCTTTCAGGTTTTCCTTGCCCCCCGCCCCAATTCTTTAGCAAACATGTCAAAGACTGACAGCAGAAAGCGGCTGCCTAACCTATGGCCAGCAACCCCTGGGAACCAGATGACCTGCTGCTAAGTGACCTCCAGGGTCTAGAAGCACCGGGAGGGAAAGGGGATGAATGGCAGAGCAGGCAGGTGGCTATTATTACCAACCAGAGCCCGGCTCTGCACCAGTAACTATACCCGGAAAGCCTGCAGGCAGCTCTGCTCGCTCAGGAGCGGCCCTGGCTTGTTTTCTGCGCCACCGTCTGGAACGCGCTATGGCGAGCCGGTGCCCAGCCGCCCGCTCGCACCCGCTGCTAAGCCAACATGGATGCTTTTATTCATCGTGAATATGCTTCATTACTTTCCCACAGACCACAGGCTAGCACGCGCTCTCTGCAGCCAGCTCGGCCACCGCTCCTCCGAACAGGCCTCGTTTACGAGCGTCATAAAGCGGGATCGCATCAACAAAAGCCCGCACGCAGCCCAAGCTACGGAGCCGACTTTATGCGCCCGGCGCGACTTGTCAGAGCTGCCCTTAATTGTGATAAATCCTGCTTCCTCATCTGAGAAGGTGACATTTCATGGCAAATAAGTCCAAGAAACGGACTGGAACCAGGAAGCGTGTCCTGCTGTGCAACCAGGCTCAGCAAAAGGCAGCACGGGGGGGACAGGCTGCGGGGCTGGGGCCCTGAGAACCGACTGCCCATCGCAGGGAGAGGCTCCGAACAGGGGCTTCCCCTCCAAAACTGGCCTCTCGCAGGGCTCGATGCTTCACGGGCCATTTCCCAGCCAGAGTGCTTTTGCGTGAAGCCTGAGCTCCAGAGCCAGCACAAGGAGCAGGCTGCAGGGTCCAGGCCTGGAAGAGGGCAGTGGTGTAGCTCCTCCTGTTGATATGCAGGGGGGCTCTGGCCTTCTAGCAAGGCTGCAACATGAATGCTTAGTGCTTGCACTGAACAGAGAGCTTCTGGTTACCCGTGCCCATCCTGCAGAGCTGGGGAGCGGGAAGGCAGCAGCTGCTGCTCCCCAAGGTTGTGTCGTTGTGAGGTTAAACATGACAAGGCCACACACCAACCAAAGAAAGCAGGGAGACTCACTCGGGCATATGAACCTTTCAGAGACTCCGT